GCGTGTAGATCCGCCTGTTCCTTCTGCTTCAGCTGGGCAGTTGACAAACTCTCGGCTGCGCAGTCTCTCATGCTGGTTAAATGTTCCCTTAAGTCCTCAATGTAGCTGTTGATATCACTCTCCGGAATGTCCTCTGCTCCTGTCCATGCTTCCTTCAAAATGTCCATAGGTCCTCTTGGTGTTCTCCCATATAGCAGTTCAAATGGGCTGAACTTGGTGCTGGCTTGTGGAACCTCCCGATAAGCAAACAAGAAGTGTTGTAGTTTCTTGTCCCAATCATTAGGGTTCTTGTGGACGTACGCCTTCAGCATGTGGTTGAGGGTACCGTTGAATCTTTCCGTCAAGCCGTTGGTTTGAGGATGGTATGGAGTAGAAGTAAGATGCTTGATCTTGCAGGTCCGGAACAGCTCTTGCATCATCTGGGACATGAAGGTGGCTCCAAGATCTGTGATGATAGATCTGGGAAAACCCACGCGTGCAAATACATTGAGCAGCGCGTCTGCCACTGTTTTGGCGTCCGTTTCCTTCAATGGAATTGCCTCTGGGTATCGCGTGGCAAAGTCCACGGCAGTCAAGATGAATCTATGTCCATCAAGCGTCTTGTGGGACATAGGGCCAATGTTGTCTACTCCGACCTTGTCAAAGGGAACAGTGACAACTGGAATGGATTGTAACAGTCCTTTTGTCTTGTCTTTGGCTTTTCCCACCATTTGACAAGTCTCACAGGATTTACAATAGGCTGTCACATCACCTCCCATTCCAGGCCAAAAAAATCTTGACTGTATGCGATCTTTGGTTTTCCTGATACCTAGGTGTCCACTGAATGTGGTATCATGGGCTAGCTTGAGGATTTTAGCCCTATACTTTTGTGGAACTACCAGTTGTGTTCTTTCCTCAAAGAATTTGGGACCTTTCTGTCTCCTCACAACTCGGTACAATTTATTCTCCACAACTTTCAACATAACTGGATTTTCACTTGTGGGTGTGTGGTTTTCTGGGACCACTTCATCCCATAAGGGTTTTAAGCTTTCATCACGTCGTTGAGCTGCTTCAAACTGCCTCATATGGCTTTGGCTCAAACTGAAGGGAATTTCTTGGCTGACATTTTCAGTTTGTGAGGTAGATGGCTGTTCATCTGTAACAGTGTATTCAGCCTCCCCATCTCGTTCAGTTTGGCTTCTGGTAATAATATTAACATTTCTGCAGCGCTCAGCCAAATCATTGCCCAACAATACTGGCACTTCTAGATCATTAAACAATCCCATTCTCCATTTTCCAGTGAAGTTCTTATATTCTATTGGGATTTCAGCCACTGACACTTCGAACACAGGGCCATAAATTCCTCTCAGCTTGTACTTTTGGCCTGGAAGTATCTGGTCTGCCTTGACAAACTCTGGCCTAATGAGCGATACTTCAGACCCAGTGTCTCTGAATCCCATTAGTTCTTGAC